TACCAATGTATCATTAAGAATCATCCTCACAAAATTTTTTTAGCTATATTTTAAGTATTAAATGGTTAATTAATCTTTTTATATATTTATTGTTTATGTAAATGCAGTCATATCCCAAAAGAACCTGGTGAATATAAATCAAATTTAAAAAAAAAATTAAAAAAAATTAAAAAAAAAAAAAAATGTCAAATATGTATATATTTTTCCAGTGGTTTATAAAATGAAAAAACTAATTACTATAATATTTAATTAAAATACTATAGTTTTTTTTATTTTTTTTATTTTTAAATAAAAAATAATCATAATTTAAAAAAATAAAAAAATGAAACAAATAAATAAAAATAAATTTAAACTAGAAACAAACCATTATTTTAAAACTGATTTTTCAGGATTTCGACAAAAAATAAGAAGTGAATATTTAATAGAACCGGAAGAATTGTCATACAAACTGATAGATATCATTACCTTTGAAGAGTATAGAGATATTGTTAAACAATGCTCAAACCATATAAAAATAAAAAGAAATAATAAACTAATATTAATTGGTTGTTTATTAGCACAACTTTTTTTATTTATTTTACTTTCTGCTTATTTTATATGGAATGATTACTCCTACCTTACCTCTATACTCATTTGGGGTTTTATTATTACTTTAGTATTTTTTACAAATTTTTTTTATAATATACAAAGCACAAAAGTAAATATACCCAAAAATTATTAATAATGTATTAATACTCTTACTAATTGGGTTTTTTTATAAAATAGATATCTCAAAATTTCGATGACTGTATATCAGATTTAAATATCAAATACTATTCTAAAAATATAATAATTAAAAAAGTAGATAAAATAGTTTACCAAGATTCAGTATTCAAACCTTTTAACAGTGGAACCACTTTAATTAGAATTTATATTTATTTTCAAGATAAACTTGAAGAAGAACAAATAGAAGAACAAGAAAATGATGAAAATCAATATCATAAACCACCAAAAATGTATAATTTAAACTAAAGCAACAACAAAACTAACAATAAAAAACAAAACAAAAAATTAATAATAATAAAAATAATAAAAAAAAAATTTCAAACCAGGCCAATCAAATATTTTGTGTAAAAAATAAAAATAAAATCAGTGTGTGAAAGTGTGGTGTTTTTATTTTTTTGATTTCTAAAACATAAAAAAATTATATATTTAAAAATATTTATTTTTTGGCAAAAAAAATAAAAATTTTATTTATTTAGATAAAATTAATTAAATATTTAATTAATAGTAATTATAGTTATCTTTTAATATTTTATTTTTTTATTTATTTTTATTTTATTTTGTTTGGTATGTTGAAAAACTTTTCAAATTTTTATTTTTTTTTTTTTTTTTATTTAAAAAATAATAAAAATAAATTTATATTTTTATTTTTTTTTTTTAATTTTTTTTTAATTTTTTAAATTTTTTTAGCGAGAAACCACCATCATATACCATTTTTTAGTTTTTTTTTTTTATTTTTCTATTTAAATTAAAGCTATAAATTAATTATATATATATAAAAATATATAAATAATTATATTTATATAGTATTATTTTTATATATCTTTCCTTTATTTATTATATATTTTTGTTTTGTTTTGTTTTGTTTGTTTGTTGTGTTTTTATTTTAATATTTTTTTTAGTGTAGTTTATATTATAAAATGGCATCTGTTGAATATTATATTTTTCAATGGGTTTCCATTATTGTTTTAGTCAGTATTTCTGGTCTTTTTGCCGGTTTAACTTTAGGTATTATGTCCTTAGATATCACTGGTTTAGAGGTATGTATTAATTAAACACACCATATTTAATAATATGCATAAAAATTTTTTTTAAAAATTTTTTTTAAAAAAAATATCATGATTTAAAAATCAAATAATAAAAAATCAATGATAATAAAATAAATTCAATTGCTAACAATTTAATTATCACCCTTATTATTATAGATTATTATAGCTAGTGGTACTCCTAAAGAAAGTAAATATGCAAAAATTATTTATCCGGTTAGACAAAGAGGTAATTTGTTATTGTGTACGCTCCTGTTGGGTAATGTCGGTGTAAATGCTCTTTTATCAATTTTCTTAGCAGATTTAACATCTGGTTTTGTTGGTTTCATTTTATCCACTGTAATTATTGTTATTGCTGGTGAAATTATTCCTCAAGCAGCCTGTTCTCGTTATGGTTTAGCAGTTGGTGCTCACACTATTTATATTGTCTATCTCTTTATTTTCCTCTTTTTCCCATTTGCTTATCCAATTAGTAAAACTTTAGATTGGATTTTAGGTAATGAAATGGGTACTATTTATTCAAGACAACAAGTAAGTAAAAATATTTATAAACTATTTAAAAACAAGAAATTTATTAAAAAACCTTTTTTTATTTTTTTTTATTTCTTTTTATTTCTTTTTATTTCTTTTATCTCTTTTTTTATAGTTAAAAAAATTATTAGATATTCATTCAGCACATGCAAATGAAAGTGGTGTATCACGTAGTGATGTTACAATGTTAACAGGTGTTTTAGATTTTGCACATAAAAAAGTTTCCCAAGTTATGACTCCATTAGATAAAGTTTACAGTGTCGATATTGACTCAATTTTAGATTATAATACAATTACATTAATTTTAGAACGTGGTCACTCCAGAATACCGGTTTTCGAAAAAACAAAATCAAATATTACTGGTTGTCTTTATATTAAAGATTTAGCCCTCATCAATCCTGCCGATAAAGTACCACTTAGAACCATTGTAAATCTTTATAAGAGACAGTTAGTTAAAACATGGGATGATACATCATTAGATCAAATGTTAACAGAATTCAAAACTGGTAGATCCCACATGGCTATTGTTCACAAGGTAAACAACGAAGGCGAAGGTGATCCATTCTATGAGAATCTTGGTATCATTTGTTTAGAAGATATTATCGAAGAAATTCTTCAAGACGAAATTTTAGATGAAAATGATATTTACCACGACTCTAGAAAGAAGAATCAAGACCATTCATTCGATTATCGTACTATTGGTTCATTCCACGGTCCAAAGAATGCTCTCTCCCAATTAAGCACTCAACAAGTCAAAGCTCTTTATGCCTATCTCTCTGGTTCAATTGATGAATTCTCATCACGTTATATCTCTGAAACCGAGTTCATTAAAATGCTTTCAACCAAAGGTGCTATTGTTTTAGACATCGAGAAACCACTTTCAGAAGACAAGTTCATTTACTCTAGAGGTGTTGTTAGTGACTTTTTCACCGTTATTCTCTCTGGTAAAATTGAAATTCGTTCGGGTAGTGAAGGTTTCATTAGCGAAGGTGGCCAATTCTGTACTCTTGGTGTCGGTGCTTTACGTTCAGACAATTTCATGCCAGATTTCACTGCTCGTGTACTCAGCAACAATGTTCAAATCTTAAAAATCCCAAAGAATGTATATGATATTTCTGTAATTTCAACCGATAAAGAATACAATACTAAAATATTTAATAGAAATAGAATCGACTTAAATACCTCACCACAACAAAACACTACTACAACCACTACCACTACCTCAACTCTTGAAAAATCACATAGTAGAGCAATGAGTGGTGGTGGTGAAGGCAGCCAACCAAACTCAACATCGTTAAAAGCCACACCTTACAATTCAATATCACCGTCAATCAACCCATCGCTATCAAATAATAATAAAAATAATAGTAGTGGTAATTTAAATGGTTTAGGTGTTAATGGTAATAATAACAGTGGTCACAATGATAACTCCGACAGTGAAGATGACGATGATTATGATGATGCCATAATATCTCAAAAACCGATTTTGTCAAACACCACTCCAAAAAACAACAATTATTTACACAACATTAGGAAATCAGATTCAAATGTTTAATAAAAATATATATAAATGATAAATTTTTTTTTTTTAAATTAAAAAAAAAAAAAAAAAAAAAAAATATTATCTTTCTTTTCTTTAAATTTTATTTCTAGATTTTTCTATTAAATATAACTTTCTTTATTTTTTATTTTTTTTATTTGTTTTTTAAATAGTTTCTTTTAATTCTTTTATTCGCTGAAAAGATTAAATAATAAAACAAAGAGGTAAACGAAAAACATAACCATATAGAAAACTAATTTGAGCATTAAATGATTACCTAATTTGCTTGTCATTTGATAAACTTTAGTTGGGTCAACTTTATGAAGACCTTTTGAATATCTGTGGATAAATTAATATTATTAGTAATCAAATAAAATATGTAATGGATGATTATATGAATATATATTTACCTTAAATAGTGATAAACTAAAACTGGTAAATTTAAAATGAATAAAAACCATCTAATGGTTAAAAGAAACCAAACTGAAAAAACAGCTTGAATAATATATTCTGGTAAAATTAATTTATTAATTCTTCTTGAGAATTCGATTGAGTTGATATCATTTCCTTCTAAATCAGTTAAAAGTAATAACTATATGGTGATGAAAAATGAAATGTTAATTTTGTTTTTGATATAAATAATGATAATAAGGTTAATATACTTACTTGGATAACAATTAAGGCAATTAAACCACCAACTCCAATGAGTGATAAACAAATAGTAAAGTCAAAACCTGGTGTAGATAATTCGTACATTATATGATATATATATTTTTTTTAATAATGAGATCTTTTTTTTTATTTATTTATTGGGTATTTAGTGAAAAGAAAAATAAAATTAAATAATTGAATATGAACTTAAATATTGTACAATAATAAAAAAAAATAAAATGAAAAAAAAAATTAAAAAATTAAAATTTTTTTTTATAATTTTTAAAAAAAAAAAAAAAAAAAAAAAAAGGAAAAAAAAAATACAAAAAAATAAAGCTTTTTTATATAAATTATTATAATTTAAAAATTAAACAATTAAAATAAGTAATTGAGTCATTAAAATAACTTTATTAAAAAAATATACTTAAAAATGCTTACGATTGCAATTCAAATTGAATGATGTGTGGTTGAGATTATAACCTTTTTTTTTTTTAATTTTGATCAGAATAAAAAAAATTTGTAATTGAAACAGTTTATCTATTTTTTTTTTTTTTTTTATAATATTTAACAAACTTTATTTAGATTTTTTTTTTTTTAATATATAACAATTTTTTTTTTTTTTTAATAATATAACATATTTATAAGATATTATGATTTATGATTTATGATTTATGATTAGTTTATGATTTTTATAAAATTGAATTTTTTTTTATAGTTGACCTGAATATTTGTCAATTCTAGATATAATATGTTTGCCTGGAGTAACTTTTTTGAGAGTTGGTATGAATGGTTGGATACGATTAATGATAACATCACGTTGACTAGGCTCGACAATATCTAAAATCTTTTGGATTACGTAATTGGCATATGGATCTTTCAAAATCTTAAGTAAAACATTTGAAGAGTTTGGAGCATTAATGTCACCTAATATTTCATTAATGATAAGGATTCTTTCGGAAGAGACACCATGTTGAACACATTTTTCAATGACATTACTGGCAAATTTATGTTGACTAAGATTATAGATTTGACCTTGAAGTTTGTAAACAATGGCAGTTTTATCACGTTGGGAACCATTCTCTAAAACATGTTGAATTACATAGTTACCGTATTGATCCTGTACAAGTGAAACGGCACATCGCATTAATTCATCGAGAATTGGTGCAACTTGGCTCTCTGCGCAATGTTCCAAGATTCTTTGAATGACACGACAACCATATGGGTGGGTGGCTAATTGATAAATATGACCGTGGAATGAATCGATGATGAATTGAATGAGATTGGTTGGAATTTTTTCAATACATTTTTGTATAACATGGTTACCATTTTGATCAGTGACACATTGAACAATATGTCCATTTAATTCGCCAATCAAAAGGATTTGTTTGTCCAATTCTATTGATTCAATGGCCTTTTGGATAACACGACAACCATACATTTGAAGAGTTAAAGACAAGATATGACCACTAAGTTTATCGGCTAAAATACGTTTTTGTTCGGTTGTACCATGCTCGAAAAACTTTTGTAATACATAATTACCAAATACATCGGTCATTAATGAATGAACGGCAACAACTACCTCATCAAATACCAATTGTTTCTCTTCAAGACTAGCATTTTCAATTTTTTGTTGAATAATTCTTGATCCAACTTGATCTTTACTAAATTCGGCTATATGACCTTTAATATCACTTAATTCTAATTTCATTTTTAAGTTTCTAAAATCCTCTAATAATTGTGATCTAGCTTGGTATTGTTCAGTAGAATTGGTTGTTGAGGTTGATGATGTTGAAGATGAAACTGATAAACTACTATTACTTGGTGATATGGATGCTGATGTGGATGTTGTTGTGGCAGATGTTGTCGATGATGTTGTTAATGTTGCTGTTGTTGTGGTTGTTGATGATGTTGATGATGTTGAAGTAGATGTTGTTGTTTGTGGATTTATAGTAGTTGGTGTGGTTGGTGGTAATGAGGCTGATGATGATGGTGATGTGCTTGGTGTTTGTTCATTAGATTTTGGGCTAATACTACCAGAAGTGTTGACGTTACCATTGTTATTATTAGCTACAACAGCAGCAGCACTTAATGGCTTATTATTATTGTTGTTGTTTGTAGTACTACTAGCGCTAGCAGTTGCACTACTTGATATATTATTTATATTTATATTATTGTTTAATGTAACAGTTGAATTTTGATTCGAAATATTATTATTATTAACAGAGTTTAGTGTGGATGGGGACGATGACAATATTGGTATATTTGGCTGTGGTGAACTGGAATATTGTTGTTGTTGTTGTTGTGGAATATATGTATTATTTGTATTATTTAAAGTATTAACAGATTGTGGTGGTGATTGAGATACATTGCTATTTGGTTTTCTTTTTGGTTGAAACTCTCTAATTTGTTGAGGTATTACCATGGTTGATTGCTGTGGTTGTTGTGGTGTATAGTGATTTGGTTTTGGTTCAATATAAAGTTCACTATTATTATTTACTAATTGATTTCTATAACCATTATTAGTACCATTATTACTATTATTATTTACACCATTTTGATATTGTTGTTGTTGTTGTTGTTGTTGTAATGCTGAGTATATACCAAATTGTTGTTGCTGTGGAATTTGATGAGCACCTCTGTGGAGTTGAGATGGTGAGGATGGTGAAGAAGATGGTGATGGTTGATATTGATTTACAGATTTCATATGATCAATATTTGGTTGCATATGTCCCATATGATGTTGAATATGAGCTGATTGTTGTGGTGAAGGTTGTTGTTGATTTATATAGCCATGAGATGGTTGATGAACACCATTATTACCACCAAAATATGGAGGGATTCTCTTACCATTTTGAAGATGTAATTGTTGTTGTTGATGGCCTATCTGTGCATGAATACCTTGAGGCATTCTTCTATCCTTCTGTTGTAATAAAGTCATATGTTGTGGGGATTGCTGTGATGGATAATGATGAGATTGGATATGGTGTGGGTGGTGTGGTTGATAATGGTGTTGCTGTGGGTGTGGTTGATGGTGTGGTTGATGATGAGGTTGATGGTGGTGTGGTTGATGATGAGGTTGATGGTGGTGTGGTTGTTGTGATTGTTGTTGTGGTAAATATACATCATTTTGATTACCGTTGGTAAATTCATTTGGTGTGTACATATGTGGTGCTAAAACTCCACCTGGTGAATAGAATTGAGGGTAATCTGAATTTATATCATTATCGGAATCGTTATAACCATCATGATTATATTGTACAGAATGTTGAGGTTTAGGAATTGCGATATTACTTGAGGTGGTAGTGCCACTAATAGTTGAAGAGCTGGTAGTGGTTGTTGAAACACTGCTACTACCTGTATTAATATTATTGCTATTGTTATTACTACTGCTACCTACTCCACTGCCGCTACTATTTGTGCCATTATTGGTTGGAACAAAAATAGGTGAAGGGCTTGGTGATCCTGCTGCAACAGTTGATACTGAAGTTGGTTGTTGAGAAAGTAAAATTGGAATAGTGCCTGGACTAGTTGATGCACTAATCTCCTCACCAACTTGTGAAACCCTTCTTGTGTGTGTTTTAGCTGTATCTGCTGGGCTCTTTTGATAAACTGGTGATGGGGTTCTTGGGAAATCTTGTTGAATCATATCTACTAATGATTTTGGTTTACCATCAAATCCCTCTAAAACAATATCTGGGCTTTGTTGTCTAAGAATACCTGCTGCTGGGAATGGTAATGGTTTTTTAATAGTAGTTCTAATATCTTGTAACTCTTGTTGTGGGTTATTATTGTTATTGTTACTGCTGCTGTTGCTGCTATTAATTGGCTGTTGTGGTTGTGGTTGTTGTATTGGTATTGGTTGTTGCAGTTGTGTTTGTTGCGGTTGTGGTTGTTGGTGTGGATGGTGTGGATGTGGTTGTTGTGGTGGTGGTGGTTGTTGTTGTGGATGTAATTGTTGTGGTTGTTGTGGTTGTTGCATTTCTGAAAAGTTCGTCTATAATTTAATGTTTATGTTAATATAATCTAAACGCTTTATATATAACTTTTGGTTTTTTTAGATTTACTTACATTTTTATAATAAACTTGGTATGGCGAAATTAAAGGTGGTGGCAAACGTGGATCGAGTGGTCTTTGAGAATAATAATAATTATAATAATTAATATCTAATCTTGGATCCTGTGGTGATATGACCTCGTTTGAATTTTGAAACTCCTATATAAAATTGAAAAAAATAAAATAAAAGTTAAAAATTAAAACTCCAATTCCTTTTTGCTACACTCCATTATGTTATTTTCTACTGACCTCTTCTGGGACAATTGGAGGAGCTGAACTACTTCTAGAAATAGTTTGATCTATCCTCGATCTAATTGTTAATTTTGATAAATCGATACCATTAACATCATCAGCGACAATGAAATGATTTGAATCCATCATTTATTACCAATATTTTATTTTTTCTTTTTTTCTTATTTTTAAAATCTTCTCTAAACTGCTACTATTAATTTCCTCAAAGATATAAAACATAAAAAAAAAGAAACTATGAAAATACCAAATAAAAAATTTAAAACACCTTTAAATTATATAAATAAATATTATTCTATGTTCTACTTTAAAATTTTAAGGAGAAACAAAAATACAATTAGTTTAAAGTTGTTAAGAAAATTTTGTTAAAATAAAAAAACTTACGGTTGTTTTTTTTTTTTTTTATTGTTTTTTTGGATATAAAAAAAAAAATTCTGTGACAAAGGAGTTTTTTTTTTATGATTTTTCTTTCTTTTTTTTTTTGAATTGAATTTAATTATCAGATTATCGCTTTATAAAATTATATTGAATTGTTTTATTGTATTATTATTATTATTATTATTACTTTCACCATAATTTATTATTTTCCTGATAGTTTATATTTCTAAATTTTTTATTTAAATTTTTTTTCAAAAGAAAAAAAATTTTAAAAAATTTTTTTAAAACTAAAAAAAAAAAAAAAAAATTAGTTTGGGGATTTTTAAAAAAAAAACACCAATTTTTTAAAATATATATAAAGAGATTTTTTAAGACAGACAACACACAAGGTTTTTTTGAGAGCCCTCCTTTCTTTTACAAATTTAATTTTTCTTTAAAGAGATGGAAATCCTCTTTTCTCAAATTTTAAAAAAAAATTAAAATTAATTTTTGTGTTATAATTTTTAAGGGGAATTATTTAAAAATTCTTTTTATTTTTTTAAAAAATTTGCTAAAAAAAAAAAAAAAAAAAAAAAAAACCCCTTTTTCCCACATAAAAAAAAAACAATTGTTGTTGGGTGTTTATTGTTATTTATATATTATATCCATATTAATGATAATATGAAAGATAATATTGTTTTTTTTATTCCCCCTTTTCTTGTGTTGTAAAAATAAAAAAATAAATTTAAAAAAAAAAGAAAAAAAAAAAAAAAAAAAAAGAAAATTAATTAAATAAAAAAACTAAATTATTGTTATTTTTTTTTAACATATGAATAGTAATATGATATGAATAAAATGGGTCATAAATTACTTTAAAATTATTTATAATTAAAAATATCAGGTTTATTTTTGAAAATATAAGATTATTTATACAAAAACAATAATATTTGGCATTAAATATATAGTAAATATATTGGTTATTATTATTATAAAAACTATTAATTGAAATATTTATGATTTGATATTAAACAACAGAAATATAAATATAATGATGGTGGTTTTGACTTTTGATTGAAAATTTAAAAGAGAAAACGAAAATTATATTTTTTTAAAAAAATATTTTTTTTTTTTTTTTTTGGTGTGGGTGTGTTGTGGGAAATTATTATATATTTTATTTTAAATGAGTAATAAGGGAAAAATAAAAATAAAAATAAATAAACAAGGATTCGATGATTAAATTTACAAATTTGAACAATAACAAGACCAAATATTGAGACAAAAAAAAACAAAAAAAAAAAAAATGAAAATAAAATTTAAATTTTATTTTATCTTTTTGTTGACAAATCCTTTCTCTATTAATAAGTTTGAACGAATATATTTCTGTGTCTTTTTTTTTTTGTTTATAAAAATACTTTTATTTATTTCCAACCACTCTATTACTTTTTTCTTTGAAATAAACAAAAATGAAGGAAAATATATAGATGGGTATCAATTTCTAAAATACATACAAATTATACAACTATATACACAAAAATATAAAATAATATTTATGAAAAAAAAATACAAAAAAAAAAAAAAAAATAAAAAAAAAAAAAATAAAAAAATAAAAATTTTAATTTTTTTTTTTTTTTCGTCTTAATAATTGACCAAAGTTTGGGTTTTTTCAATATTGTGCCATAAAAATATAGTGCCCTCACCAAAAACGAATAATATCATAAAAAAAATTAAAAAAAATTTAAATTTTTTTTCTTTTTCATATGAACACTGTATCTGTAGTTCGTTTTCAATCATTTTTGAATAGTCAAAATGAATAAGCAATGAACAAATAAAAAATAACCAGTTTTTTTTTTTTTTGGTTGTTTTAACAAATAAAAATATAAATGAATTCATTTAATTGAAACCTTTTTATTTTTTTTTCGTAAATAAAAAAAAACGAAAAATGATGATTTAGATAAATACGCATCTATTAATTTTTTGAATATATTTTTTAATTTTTTTGGTTTTTTTTATTTCTTTTATTTCTTTTTTGTATCTATTGTTATTTATTTATTTATTATTGATTTAGGCAATTCTTTTACCTGAATAAAAGTTTTCTTCTGGATGATAAATTCTTTCTTCAATTTTAATATCTACAGTTGCTGAAATTGGTGGGAGTTTAGTTTGAACAAATTTAACAAATTTATCAGCCATTTCAACATTGGCATCGATTTGAACTAATCTTTTATTAACTTTTAATTCGTATTGTTCACGTGATCTCTTATCGGTGTGTGGTGATTTAAGAACAGTCCATTTTTGAAATGTGCTTGGGAGTGGAATTGGACCAACAGTTTTAATACCTGATAATTTGGCAGCCCATGCAATACGTTTAGCAATATATGGTAAAACGTGGTCAATACCTTGTAAATTGAAATTTACAATTTTACGACCATTTGAAACAACTGTTTGTGAAATTGACATCTTTTTTATTTATATATATATTTTGAGAAGAAAAAAAAGATGATTATTTATTTGGTTTTATAAAAATGTACAATAATAAATAATAATCCTTTAAGTAATAATAAACTGTAAATATATAAATGTAATTTGATTATTTCGTTGATGAGAAAAAAAGAAAAATAATTTTTTAAAAAATTTTTAAAAAAATAATTTTTTTTTTTTTTTTTTCAAAAATGATTTTTTTTATTTTTTATATTTAAAATTATTTTTTTAATTATTGTTTTATTTTGGTATTAAATTATTATAATAATAATATAAATGTTTAAATAGTTGTATTTGTGTCCAAATTCAATATAGTTTATCAAAATATTTAGATAAAATTTAAAAAAAATAAAATAAAAAAAAAACAAAACTCATCATTTTTTTGGTTTTTACAATTCCAAAAACAACAATATTATTTAAAGTAAGGGTTGAAGTTTTAAAAGAAATTTATAAAAAAGCAAATATATAATTAAACAATCCTATTTTATTTTTTTTTTTAAAATTTTTTTTTTTTTTTAAATTTTAATTTTTTAATTTTTTTATTTTTTTTCATTTTTTTTATTTTTTTATTTTATTTTTTATATATATTTTTCCTTAATTAAAAATACTATAATATCTTTTCTAGTTTTATAGGTACAATACTAAAGATAAAATAAACAATTGTAAAATAATATTAGAAAATGAAAAGATTTCGTACACATTTTAATGGATATTCAGTAGAGTTTAGTCCATTCGAGGAACAAAGATTGGGTTGTGTAACATCACAACATTTTGGTATTATTGGAAACGGTAGACAGTATATATTGGATGTATTAGAAAGAGATATAGGTTCATTTAAACAATTTGATACAAGGGATGGTTTATATGATTGTACATGGAGTGAAGAAAATGAATGTCATATTGCATCTTCATCAGGAGATGGTTCAATTAAAATTTGGGATACACAAGTAGGATTCAACTCATAATATATATAAATGGCATTTACATTGTATTAATATCGGGATTTTATTATTATAACTTTAGGCACCAAATGGTGGAAGACCAATTAAAAGTTTTGAGGAGCATACAAAAGAGGTTTATAGTGTAGATTGGAATCTTGTGCATAAAGATACATTTATTACAGGTTCATGGGATCAAAGCATTAAAATATGGAATCCCAGAATGGAAAGATCACTAAAAACTTTTAGAGAACACAGATATTGTATATATAGCGCTATTTGGTCACCAAGAAATGCACATATGTTTGCATCTGTTAGTGGTGATAGAACTTTAAAAATTTGGGACTCAAGAGGTAATAATGATTTTAAAAGAAACATCTTTTTATTAAAAGTTATTAACAATTGTTTTTATTAAATGCTATTTAGATAATAGATCAATAAATACTATCAAAGCACATGATCACGAAATTTTAACATGTGATTGGAATAAATATAATGATAAAGAGGTTGTTACAGGTTCAGTTGATAAAACAATAAGAATTTGGGATATTAGATATCCAGATAGACCAGTTCAAATTTTAAGAGGCCACACTTTTGCAGTTAGAAGAATTAAATGTTCGCCACATTCCGAATCGATGCTCGCTTCTTCTTCATAGTAAGTAGTTTTAATCAATTTTTTTTTTTTTTTTATGGAAATATATTAATATCAATTTTTTTTTAATTTCAATTAGTGATATGTCAGTTATAGTTTGGGATAGAGCAAGAGAACAAGATCCAATTTTAGCTAGATTAGATCATCATACAGAGTTTGTTGTAGGTTTGGATTGGAATATGTTTGTTGATGGACAAATGGCATCTTGCTCTTGGGATGAACAAGTTTGTGTTTGGAATCTCGGAAGACCACAATTCCAAAGATAAATTTAAATCCCAATATAATTATAAAATAAATAAAATAAAAAAAGAAGAAATTTTTTTTTTTGAAAATCCTACAATATAGTTGTGAAATTTTTATAATTTTTTTTTTTTTAAATTTAAATTTTTTTTAAATTTAATTTTTCATTTTCGATAATTTATTATCATAGCAGAAATGAGCAGTAGAAAAATTCATCATTTAGATTCATCTCCTCCATTATCATTTTTAATTATTAAAGATAATAATAAAAATACAGAAAATACCAATAAACCAATAGTACAAAATGCTGGTAGATTTAAAAAAGTTCAAATAACAATATTAAACGAAGAGAATGAAAATAATAGTAGCGATAATAATAATAATATAGAAATATGTAATAATAATGATATAAATAATATTAAAGAGGGATTAAACAAATCAGAAGAGGACAATGAAAATGATAAACTTTGTAAAATGTATGTATTTTTATTGATATCCTTTATGGATGGTTATAATTGGTTATATACTAATCTAAATTTAAAATAGATGTAATAAACAGTTTTCATTATATACCTGTCCAAGATGTAATATAAATTATTGTTCATTGGTATGTTTCAAATCACATAATAGTAGATGCAGCACAGAGTTTTTTGAAGGGCAATTAAAGGATAATTTAAAGAATATAGAAAGAGTCTCACCAAAAGAGTCATTGACATTCTTGAAAAGAATGAAAGAGATATACGACGTTGAAGATTCAAAATTTGAAGAATTATTATCAAAATATAATTTACCAAAAGATGTAACATTAAATCAATTAGATGAATATGAAGATTATGAAGACGAGGAAGACGAAGAGGATGATGGTATAGATTTAGAAAATTTAAATTTAGATGAAATGACAGAGGAGGAATTATTGGCATTGTTAACTAAGGATGAGCTTGAGGAGTTTAATAAATCAATTAAAGATGGAACAATATCAAATTTAATCGATGAATGGGTACCTTGGTGGAACATTAATGTTAAAGAAATAGAAAATAACAATGGGTCATGTAAAATCAAAGAAATAGAGGACGATAAAGATGAAAGTATTAGGGAAGAAGATAACGAAAAGGAATCAAACGAAATTAAATTATTATTATCAAGAATACCAATAATCTATAAGGATATTCAACCTTTATCTAAATTAATCAGTAATAAGCCATCAAAATCATTATACTTCCATTTAATAGATATTTTATATTGTTATTGTTTTCTAACGAGAACATTCAACGGGGAGTGGGGTTTAGAGGATAACGGTATCAATAATAATAATAATAGTAATAATAATATAGATGAGAATAATGATACACTTTTGGAAGGTTGTAAATTAATTTTAGATTTATCAACAGTTTTAAAATCAGCACCATCAAATAAAGAACATTTAGCATTGTATCAAGCACATTTATCATCATTAAATTCAGTGGAGGGTGTTATAAAGAATTTGTTAAAGTCAAGCCATAGTAGTCAAATCGAAAATAATAAAAACCAAGGGAATATTTACTTTTCTTTATTTTTATTAGAGGATCTTATTTCAATATTAAATAATCAAAGTTTTATATTATCATCCATTTCACATTTATTCAGGTCATTCAAAAGTTCAATTGCTATTTTAAAATCAAATTATAACAATAAAATAAAAGAAACACCACAGAAGCAAGATGAATTTAAAAAAGAGTACCAACTATTATCAAATTGCTTTGAAAATATTAGTAAGAAGTTATTGTTTTTCTTGTCATGGGTTAGCAGCGAAGATGAAGATTCATTTAAATTATTATCAGCTCAAGTTTATAAATATTTTAACTCTGAAAAATCGATATTATTAAAAAATAAAAAGTAACAATAAATAAAAAATAATAGGACCATTATACATAATGGTCTTTTTGTAAATAAAATAAAAAAAGCATATAAAATAAATTTGGTTAAATTTAAATTTATATATTTAGTTAAATTTATTTTATGCCAGTTAAAAATAGGGGAAGTAGTTACAACCACATCAACCATCGGATTTAATGTTAACCAAGTTGTTTTTATTTATTAAATCATGAAACAGTGCTTTATAAAAAAAAAAATAAAAATAAAAAAAAAATAAAAAAAAAATCAGAACCAAAATTTTTATTTTTATTTTTTTTTTTATTTTTTATTTTTTCATTTTATTTTTTTATTTTACCAAATATGCAAACATCAGATCATAGTAATAATACAGATTGTAATAATAGTAATAGTAATAATAGTGATATATCGAATAATAACAATGCATATATAACAAAAAATAAAGTTAATGAAGAGTTATATTATCCATTCGATATAAATTATTCAATCAAAAAGATAGATTTGTTGTTAAGTTCATTATTATATAACAGTAAAAATGAAAATATTAAACAATGTACAGATTGGATAGTTAGATTACCACCATTTTGCAGTAGATTACAGGCAGGCTATAAGTATGTTTTTATAAAAAAAATAAAAATAAAATAAAATAAAGGTTTACTAAAATTAATTAATGTTATTAAAAGTTGTGGATTTGTAGCATTAAGAATGGCAATAGAGTATTTGGATAGATCATTTCTAGAAAAAGAATACATTTCAGAGTTATTTTTAACAGCAATCATGAAAGGGTACACAAAAGAAGGTGAGATGTTTTCAGCTTTTCACTTATCAGAAATTTCAAATTTAATATTTAATAATATAGATTTTAGTTATATTAAAACTACAGTCGAACAGCACCCAACAGCAGCCGATATTTTAAATCAGTTATCAAATGGTAAGCCAATACTTGTACCCTATGATGCTGATCAAAATTGGAGACCATGTTCTGGTGGTGGAAAAAAAGCCCACTGGGCTATGGTCATAGGTTTTGTAATACCAAATTTAAATAAATATAATAATAGCAGTAATAATAATAGTAACGGTAATAATAGTAATGATAATAGTAATAAAAATATTTGCCCAATAAAATATAAACTTAAAATAAAAAATAGTAACAGTAATAATAAAAGTAGTAGCTATATAGATTATAACGGTTATTATGAAGAAAGCCCTTATGATAATAGTTGCAATTTAATGTTAACAGATGAAAAATATAGAGATAGATATATGATTTTAAATAATACAAGTAATAATATAAACAATAACAATAACAATAACAATAACAACAACAACAACAATAACATCATTAATAATAATATGGTTTTAAAATTTTATCAAAAACTAAACAATAGTTTTAATAGATTATCATTTATAGATGATGATTATGATCAAGACGATGAAGACGATTTAGAAAATGTAGATGATAACGATAACAAAAATAAAGCAAAAACTTTAAATCCTGATGAAATCTTTTTATTATGCCAACATGGTAAAAGTCAAATAATTCAACTTTGGGAATTAACAACATTATTAGAATCAAATAGTTCCTTATCTAAATTTCCAGATGAACGAAGAGATGATTCAAGATGGATTATTCCAAATGATTTATCAGATTTAAGAAATAAATGGTTGTTTTTTAATAAATAAAAGAAATCAAAAATCCAAAAAATAAAATAATAATATAAAATAAAATAAAATAAAATAAAATCAATAAAATCAATAAAATCAACCAATCAGATTAAATCAAATCAATCAACAAATAAAAAAAAACAATTCTGTACTTCTATTTCTTTAAGACTATATATTTATCAAAATAATAAAAACAAATAAATAAAAATATAACTTATAAAAAATTGACACACCCTCCAAAAATAATAATAACAAAAATCATAATGTATTAGTAATAAATATAATAATAATATTACTAAAAATTTTAATAATAAATGGTATGTATAAAAGTATGTTATATATGAATATATTTTAAAATATTGTTATTTTATTATTTCTATATTTTGTATTGTACAACTTTTTTTTTGTTTTGTGTATTAAAGTTACAATTAGTATTATATTTTAAAATGGGCACACATAGTTTTTGGTGTGTTGTGTTGTGGGGTGTTAAAATTTTTTTATTTTATTTATTAAATATATAAATAATGTAATATATCTATTTTAATAGATTTGGCTAAAATTTGATTTATTTTAGTATTAAATCTATTGAACTTATATATAGAAGTCTATCATAAATATTTTTTTTTTTTTTTTTTTTTTTTTTTGTAGATAATAAAAAATTCGGACTATATAAAATTATTGGTAGTTTATTATATATTCGTTTATACATACCACACACAATCATTTTAATTATAAAAGATAAAAAAAAAAAATGGTTATAAAATTTTCCCTAAAATATTTTAGGTTTTGTTTGGTTCTTTTTATTTATTTATATATATGTTTTTTAGTATTTATAATCAATCTTCTATATAAAGATAGAGTAATATCATTGTTTCATATTTTTATAACCATAAAGAGAAACACACACAAACAACCAAACATTGTGATTATCATTTTTTTTTTTTTTTTAAAAACACCATAATTATAATCATCATCTTAAAAAGAGTAATATTTTTAAATATAATAATTATTTTATAATAATATTGGTATTTATTTAAATATTTAATAGAAAATATATTTTTATTTTATTTAATTTTATTATTTTTTTTTTTAATTATTTTATTTTATAATTTTTTATTTTAAATCATTTAAATAAAATCAAATTATTATTATTAATTTATTTCCTTTTTATATATTAAAATCAAATAAAGGAATAAGGAAAAAAAAAAGATTATATAAATTTTTTTTTTTAATAAACGAATAGATAAACAAAAGATTAATAATAATAATATTAAGATAAATAATAATAATAAATATAAAAAAAAAATAAAATAATAGATATTTATAATAAAAAAATTCACATAGATATTTAATCATATAATAATATTAAAAATGAAATTAATATTTTTTTTATTTTTTTTATTATTAAAAATAATAAATTCAACATTAGTTTATCCGAATCCCGCAGATTTAGTGCCAATTGAATTAAAACCAATCATTTCAATTGGTAACTTTTGTCCTTATAAAAATGTATTGTATAAAATAAATAGATGTTTAGGTGTAAATATTTTTTTTTTTTTTACTAATAATTCATTATTTTCAATAGTATGGAGTTCAAGTCACAATCAATAAAATCAATTATCTGTTAGTTTTAGATTCACAAAATTCTGTTACAACTGTATTTTCAAGAGAATGTAAATATGGATGTTTACGTTTACCAAGAATGTATTTGCCAACTAAAAGAACCATATTTGATAAGGTAACCTCGAAAGGATTTTTTAAAGATTCAACTGCATGGGAGGGTAATATAGTGGGTGAAAAAATAACATTAAATCATAATTTTACTACTAAAACAGAAATTAAATTGGTTGCAGTTTCATCACAATCAAGACCACCACAAAATGCAAGTATGTATCATATAAAAATAAAATTTAAAGTTTTTTTTTTCTTATTAACCTTATTTATAATAATGATTATAGTTTGTCAAGCATCATCAATTTTAGCAAATGGTGTTTTAGGTATTGGTCAATCAAAAGAAATTAATTCATTCGTTAGACAGTTTACAACAATGAACAATGTACCACCAGTATTTTCATTAACAATGTGCCCAGAGAACCCCAGAATTTGGTTTGGAGGGTATGATCCATCAGTATTAGATAACCCAAAAAAATTTGCATTTACAAAATCAGAAACAGATTCATATAGTTTTACAATTTCAAACGTATATATTGGCGGTAATACATTATATCAAGTATCAGATTTCGTATGGAAAACTGAATTGGACACAAGTACACCATTCATACATTTACCATCATCTGTATTCCATCAAGCAATTCAAGTGTTAAGTAGAGAGAGAAGTTTCAGTAAATATTTTAGTGCTAGATTCTTTACTGAAAGAAAGTGTGTTTTGAATCCACTTACAAATTTTACTGTCGAGCAAATCAATGAACTGCTCCCAACTTTTAGAGTGGTCTTTAAATCAAATTTACCAAATAGTGAAATTACTCTTAATGCTGTGCCATCTTATTTAGTTATCCAGGGGGATAAAGCTTGTCCAGGTATTGTAGAATCTTTAGATTACAACTCAAGATTCGGTGTATCTTTATTTATGCAATATATGGTCTTATTCGATCAAGTAGAGGGCCGTGTTGGTATTGGTAAAGCAAATTGCAAACCTAATCGTTGGGTTGTTGGTAGTGATTGGGATGAATGTAAAAAGAGTGAGGACGATTCCGATTGTGAAATGCAAACTAGATCTCTTAAATGTATCAGTCCAAAGAATAAACGTCTAAATGAAACATTATGCAAAAATGAATTAAAACCAATATATCAAAGACCATGTTATAGATCAGAGGACGATAGTAGTGCTGTTGATGGTGATTCTGCCGAGTCAATGGAGGAAACCATTGCACCAAAACATACCAATACAAGTAGAACTAGAATGAGAAAAACACCTGCACCAGTCGTTAAAACCAAAAGACCAACAACAGGTTGTGTAATCGAGCCCGGTAAATGGAAAATTGAAGGTACATGGTCAGATTGTGACCAAATTTGTGGTACAGGTGCCCAAAGACGTAAGGTTATTTGTGTTTCTAAAGATGGTGAACTACTAGAAGATATTAAATGCGACGCTAAAAGTAAGCCACCATTCGAAAGAGTTTGTGGTGTTGGTAAATGCTTAGCAGAGTATCACTGGGATACATCAGATTGGTCAGGTTGCTCAACTCAGTGCGGTGAAGGTTATCAAACTAGATTTTCAACATGTATCGATTCATCAGTTTGGAGAAATGTAGATAATTTAAATTGTAAAGGTCCAGAACCCGTTCTCAAAAGAGAGTGTCTGGGTCAACCTCTTTGTAGCAAATATCGTTGGGATTGGGAACCTTGCGAACCAAATTGCCCGGAAATGGCATATGTATATTGTTATAATGCTACTTCTAAAGTCGATAACTCTTTTTGTAAACAAATTCCAAATATTTTCATCCCCGTAGATTGTAAATGTTATCGTACTCGTAAGAGTTTAGGTGCTGCTGATTCCACCCTTGGCTCAGAAAGTTCAAATACAATAGGTTCTTTAATTAATTTTAAAAGTTTCTTATTAAAATTATTAATTTTATTAATTTTAACTTTTATTTATTTAATTTAAAAATATCTTTTATCTTAATAGTTTTTTAAATTATAAAATTCAATAAATATTTAATTTATTTTAAAAAGAAATAAAAAAAATAAAAAATAAAAAATAAAAATCTTCTCCATACCAACATCGATCTTTAACTAACAAATTTTATATTATTTTAAACAATTATTTTATTTTTTATTTTATTATATAGCTTTGAATAATTTGGTTTCGAATAATATTTTTTGTCATTTTCATGATAGAAAGTTTGAATATTATGTGATTGAGATAGTTTTTGGATAGTTGTGTTGTTATGATAATCTACATTTTTAATTTGTTTAGAAAATAATATAGTCTCTAATGTTTCTGGTAATGGGAGAATAAAATTTGGTATTGATGTGCCCCTTATTATTAGTATCTTTATAAATTGTGGAAGATTTTGATTGGATATTATTGTATCTGATTTGTTAATTGTTAAGTCTAATAATTGTATTGAGTTTGGGAATGGTTTCAGGGTAATAGTTTTTGCATTATCAAATTGAGCTTGAGTGTAAATTAAATCTAATTTTAATGATTTTAAATTATTAAGTTTTTTTAATTCTATAGGTTGTGATTTAAAATTTACTGTGCATGATATTTCTAAATTTGATAAGATATTGATTGGTAATAGTACTGAGCTTACTTTTTCTAAATAATAGTATTTTAATGATTTTAAGTTTGGGAATTTATCAAAGCTAATAACATTGCTTTGATCTAGTTCTTCTTTCGATGTAATTGCAATATATTGAATGTTTGATGCATTTTCGAAATGTGACCTAAAACCTGATAACGAGGTTTCCAATGAAGTGAGTGATGCTGGGAAACCCCTACCGGTTTTGTTCCTAAAAAACATATGAGACAGCTTTAGCTTTATCAATGTGGGCGGAAGTAAGTCTATATCTAAATTATCTATCATTGAAAAAAAGCCTTTTCTGATTATTTCTAATTTGGTTAATGATTGTAGCAATGGAGCTCCTTGTACCAGTATCGAGTCTGCAAAAAATTGAATAAAGCAATTATATGAAACTGATAGCTTTTTTAGGTTGGTGAATTTTTTGGCGATTTCTAAACTTTTTATTGGTTTATTGTTATCTTCAGTGTTGCAATCTAGTCTTAGTGATTCTATGCTTGATGGTAGTTGTTTGAAAACTGATGAATATAGCTTATAGGATTTGCAATATATAAAATGTTTTAAATTGTTAGGAAAGTGTAAAGTTGTCTGGTAATACTCGGACGTTAACTCTAAAGATTCTAAACCTTCTGGTAGAGCTTGATTATAAATTGGATCATCAAAAAGACATGATAATACTAAATGCTTTAAAGTGTATGGAATATATCTTTTTTTCATTATTTCTTCACCACGAAATCCTAAATATAAAGTTTCTAACCCATTCATTTGATATGATAGGTTTGATAAATCTTTGATGTCTTCTTTTTCAGTTATTATTATATTATTGTCGAATCTAAGTGATTTTAAAGTTGGGGGCACTGATATTGCTTTGATTTCTATTGATATTTTGCTTCCTTTAATTTCTACACTTTCAATATTGCTTGGTAAGTTGTTGAAAAACTCTATTAAGCTTTTTTCTCCACCAAAACAATTAACCATTATTATCGATTTGATGAAATAGTTATCTTTAGATTCTTCATATGATTCTAATGTTTTAAATTCCCTAATTCTCCAATCATTCACTTTTATTAAATATCGATTCCATTTTTGTATTTCGTTTTTAATAATTTTATTCCTCCATAATTTAAAAAAAACTATACTATTATCCATTGTTTTTATTTTATAGTTAAATTAAACAAAATTAAATAATGTTGGATTAATTGTTCCAAATTATAAAAATTAATTTTGTTTTAATATAAAATTTTATTAATACTTTTTTTTAATTTTTTATTTTTTTTCATAAATTTTTAAATTTTTTAAATTTTTTTTTATATTTTGGCAATTTAGGCCATATCAAACACTATTTAGGTATTCCAAGGAATGAAAACATCAGATAATAAAATAAAAGTGTAAAGGTTTCAACATAACCAATGGTACAATTAAAATATATACTTATTTAAATTAATCTAGAATCAAGTAGCTCATATTTTTATTCAATAAAGTTTGTTAATTATTCTTTATTATCTATTTGTTTCATTACCATCTTATTCACTAATAAAAAAGAAACAAATTTAATGGTCACCAGATCAAAAGTAATTAAAAAATGCTTAGTAAATTATAAAAAAATATCATATTAATTTAATATTAAAAAACAAATTTTTTTTATTTATTATAAACTTATTTGATACTTAAATACTCAGTTTTGAAAGAAAAGATTTTTTGTGCCCCTATCCTAAATATAAAAGAAAAAATAAGTTAATTAATTTTTTTATTTTTTTCAAGATTTTTTAAAAAAAAAAAATTTTGAAGTTATCCCAAATCCAATATTAATTTAAATTTTTTTTTTTTTAAAATTAATAAAATATAAAATATCCAATGGAGAATAATAATAGTAATAAAGAGTTTAATGATTATTTATTTTTTAAAATAATAAGAAATAAGTATTTATTTTATCAAATACTTTATCACAGAGATTTATATTATACAAATGAAACTGTTGGTTTTATTTCAATTCAAGATTTATTAGATAATCAATTTAAAAACTATATTACATATTTACAATTATATTCAAATGATCCAAACACATTTAAATATATTCCATATTCAGTAAATAAGCTATTGGCAGTAGATTATAACATTCTACTTTCACATGACACTTTTCCAAAACACTTTCCAGTTACAAATTTAATGCTTAAAGAATTCAACCAGCCTTTATTGACCCCATGCCATTTACCAAACACTTTGGTTTCATTAGAACTTGAAAGCTTTGATTATCCATTAGATCCAGGTTGTATAAGTGAGTTACCATTAAACAGTCTAAGCTTGTCCTCATATACATCACCTATAGAACATGGCATTTTTCCATCATCTCTAACTAAACTGCAGCTTTATAACTATAATGAGCCTCTTCTTCCAAATGTTTTACCCCCATTGCTAGTTTATTTAGAACTTCAAAAGTACAACTATCCATTAGAAGCAAACTGTATTCCATCTCTTGTCAAAAATTTGGTTATGGGGTCATTCAATCAACCATTGAAACCTTACATACTTCCTTCTTCTATTAATTCTATTTCAATGGAGGCTTTTGACCAAATTTTAACAGAAAATTGCTTACCAAATTCTCTCACAGATTTGAGCTTATTCCTCTTCAATAAACCTCTGTCCCCTGACGTTTTACCACAGTCAATTGTATCATTACAACTTGGATGCTTTAACCAAGTCCTATATAGAGATCTTTTACCAAGAAAGCTCGAAATATTGAATCTAGGTAAATATAACAAACCTCTTTCAAAAGATTGTTTCCCCAGCAATATTAAAAGATTATCATTAGATTCATATGATATAAGCGAAATTAATTTTATACCAGAGAGTATCGAAAACCTATCGCTAATGGGGAAGAAAAACACCATAACACAGCTTCCTTCGAGTATTAAAGATTTAACCATCAGAGCTTGCTCGGCTATTATAAAAGGTTTAATTCAACCAGGTTTAACTTCATTAGTTTTGTTCAACTATAATTATTCTATTTCATCTGATATTTTACCAAATTCAATAGAATCCCTTTGGATAAATGGTAAAATGGTCAATAATCCTAAAAATTTTTCCTTCTTTCCCAAAAATATTGTACACATCATTATATAACCTTTTTTGGTTCATCCAATTGTAAATTAAAACAACAGATCCATATTACAAATTGATCAAATTCATAAATACAAATTAATAATAAATAAATAAATAAATTAAATAAAAAAAAAAAAAAATTAAAATTAAAATAATAAAAAAAAAATTAAAATTATAAAAAAAAATCTAAATACATTCAATCAAATTTTTAAAGAAAAATAATGGAATAAAAAAAAAAAAAAATATTTCTCCCATACTCTCTCTTTATAATAATGATACATTTAAATAATCATATTTTATTTGTTCAAATCAGAATCAAACAAATTATCTCTTTTTTTTTAATCTTTTAGAAAAAAAAACATGAATGGTCATTTATAACTCTATTGAGTGCTTGGACATATTCATACTTCGTTTATACAAAACTCATTTAGTTGTTAGACAAATGGGGAATCTGGAACTTTCACGATTCCTTGTTTTGTTGTTTTAACAACGCCCCAAATAATTAAAGAAACAAAATATAATATTAAAATAATAAATCTAAGTTTTTTTTTTAAAAAGGTTTGATTTATTTCAAAAATATTATTTTAAAATAATTAATATATTAATTTTATTATTATTGATATACATTGAATTATATTATTTTTGTTTGTCTAAAAACATCGATGAAGTTTTTTAAAAAGATTTTTTAATTTTTTTTTCGTTTGTTCTTTTTTTTTCTTTTTATTCATTTTTTTATTTTTATTTGATCAAAGAAAATTTTATTGATGGTCTTTAAAATATACATTCACTATTTATTCATTAATGTAAATATCAATATCAAAATCAATCACAACCACACCCACATATATTTTAAAAAATAAAAATAATAAACACATTTTAATTTAAAAACTTTATTTATTTTAATAATACAAATATTTTATTTTATTTAATTTATTTTATTCTCCTATTACTATAATGTTTGCGTTGTTTTTCATATTTAAAGATCTTGGTGTTGAGTAAAAGAGAATTTCTTTTAAATTATTTCCTTCGGCATATAAAAACTTTGGTTTCTCATACTTTTTAAAAAAGAGATCAAAAGCTTCTAATAAATTACCACCCATTTTGATTTTATAAAAATTAATTATTGATCCATCTTTTGCACAGATATTAATTTTTTCGTTATCTTCTGGTTTGCTAATTACAGGAGGAAAAATTTCTGCTACAGATTTTACTTAAGGTGATGAATTTGAATCTGATGAGTCCGAATCTGATGAGTCTGATGATGAGTCCGATGATGAGTCCGATGATGAATCTGATGATGAATCTGATGAGTCCGATGATGATGAATCTGATGATGAATCTGATGATGAATCTGATGATGAGTCTGATGATGAATCTGATGTGTTTAATAATGAAATAGATTTTTTTGGGACAATGGCAGTATTTTTTGTAGAAGGTTTGTTATCATTCTTTGATGTTGGTAATAAATAACATAATGGCCAAATTGAATTTTTATTATTAGATTTTTTATCAAACTGTATTACTGAAGATTCTGGGAAAAATTTTTTATAAAGCTCAAGAGTTCTTTCATATTTTGACCTTATAAATTTGTGATTTTCTTCAACTTTTAAATCTTTCTTATCTTTAATTGAATAATGAATCTTGAAACCCAATAACTTGCAAAAATTTTTATACCCAATAGTGTTTAATACCATTTCCTTCCAAAATGAATGAACTAATGGTGGTGGAAATAGTCTTGAAGATAATATATTCGAAGATCCATAATCCTTATCCATAACTTTTAATACCATAAATTTAATAAATTCTATTTTAATGTTAATGTTGATTGCTGCTGAAACTAATAAAATTGGTTCTGAATTAAATTTTTCATTAACTTTTTTAAATAATTCTAATGCTGTTTCTATTTCTCTTACACCAGTGTTATAAATTGGTCTTGAAGCTGGATTATTTTTAATTTGATTAAATTTAAAATTTTCTAATTCTTTAATTTTATTATTTAAAACTACTATTTTATCTTCATATTCTTTAATTTGTTGTTGACTCTTTAAATTGAGATCTTGTTTATGCTTTATTCTTTTATTTCTAAGTTTTGTTAAAATTTGTTGAATTTCTTTATCTTGTTTTTTTTCATCATCGCTTTCATCTGAACTTGAATCTGATAAAACTTTTCTTTTCTTTGATGCACTACCGTTTCCACTCTTTTCGTTGTCAATAAGCTTCTTTAATATATCACGAAGTTCAATTTTTTTTTTACCAAAGGAATCTATATTTGGATCTCTTTTTTTAATTTCAATTTGAATTTGGACGCTTGTTAATCTACTTAAAGCTTTACCACCAACTGAATAACCCATTATTTATTTACAATATTTACTTTTTTTATATATTTATTTTTCTATTTTTAAATAAACAAAATATAATAAAAAATGATTTTTTAAACTAATTAAATAGTGTTTATTATATTTTTTTGGAATTGAAATTATTCGAATAAAAAAAAATTGAGAAATTAAATGAAATAAAATGATAAAAAAAAATTAAAAAAAATTTTTTTTTGTGAAATCTGGATATTTTTTTTTTTATAATATTTTTTTTAATATTATTTCTAATTTTTTTTAATTGTTTATAACCTCAACAAATTATAGAATGCATTCCGACACAAAAATGATATAAATATAAAATGAAATAACAGTATTGATTAAAAATAATAATAACTCTTTAAATATGTCAATATTAACAATTGATTTTAATTCGATTGCAAATCAATTTACAAAATATTTTAATAATAGAATTTTTTCAAATCAAGAAGAAACTCAACTATTCAATGATGTAAACACTGATGTTTGGTGGATGAGCGGAGATGAAACTGTTTTCAAGTTTGCAGGATCCAGATCAATCAAAGAGAGAATTTCAAATCAATTTCCAATAGTAAAAGGCTTTGATGTTTGGTCATTTATGGCCACTGACATAATCATTGATAAAGAAAATTATAAAATAATGTTAGAGATAGATTGCAAAGGTATTGGGTATGGAAATAAATCTTATTCAAATAACTATTTATTTATTTTATCAATTAATCAAGAGGGAAAAATATATTCAATCAGAGAATATTTAGATGCAAACTCAGTTCTTCAATATAGTTTAAATAATTTATTTATAACTCAACAATTTAATAATTTAAATAATAATTAAATAATAAATAAAAAAGTAAATAAATAAATAATGGTATTAATACCATTTTATTAACTTAAAGTTAATAAAATCTTTAAATTTTTTTTTTCTTTAATTTGGTTATACCATCACACAGTAAAAATAAGTAACCTTTTTATAAAATTTGTAAACAAAAATACAGTTACCAAGCATGCTTGGAACCTATATACCTCATTAATGATAGTACTTTGACAGTTAGGTAAAGAAAACTTGCCTTATAATCATTATTTATCCTTTATTTTTTTAACTTTAATGTTTAATAGATTTTTTTATTATAATAATTAAAAAAAAACAAAGTTTAAATTTAAAAAAAAAAAAATTTTAATTTTAAATTTTAAAAAAAACAATGTTTAAACTTTGAGTAACATTTAAAAAAACAATGTTTTTAAATTTAAAAAAAAAAATGTTTTGTGTATGTAAAAAAATGAAAATATATGACAAAAAATGTTAATTAAAATATTCAGAATAAAAAAGTTTGTGTTTCGAGGTGTAATTTAAAAATTTTATTATGTTAATAAAAAAAAATAAATAATGAATAAATGACGAGTCGTGATTAATTTAATATAAACAAAGAATTAAGTTCACTCCATTAACTCTTTCAATAGGTAAATTATATAAAACAAACGTATGGGGATAAATAAAAGTTAAATATAAAAAAATAAATAAAGATGGTTTTTTGATTATGTTAAAAAAATAATAACATAATTTTTTACTATTTTTTATTTATTATTATTTTATTAATTTGTATTTATTAAATTTATTATATATTGACATCTATCTTTTGCTTTTTTCATACATTCTTTTAAATTTGATTCAGAGATCGAATTGATGCCGGTGACCAAAAGTAAACAAATTTCTTTATGTTCATTATAAGTTATATTGATTGTACCAGTTGATAGTTTTTCCTCTTCTAATGATGGATCTGATAAAATATAATCCTCAATAACTGAAAATGATGTTGGGATTAAATAATGCTTAATATTTAATTCTCTTAATGGTTGTTCTAAATCTTTATAATATTCGTCATTATTTTCGATAATTCCTTTTGGTAATTTTACTGATTATAATAGATATAAAAGATTAATATACAATATTTAATAAATTTTGATAAAAAAGAAAAAGAAAATTTGTCATCTATAGTTTGAATAATTACCATTTTTAAGAGCTGATAAAATTGAAAGTACTGCTGCATCATAAATATTTCCATCATAATCTAAACAATAAATATCTACATATAAATACCAAAGTGCTTTACCCTCTTCATCAAAATAAAAATCTGTATCTGGTATTTCTAAACGATTAATAAGTGAATTTAATCTTGAGCATAATGTCATTGCCATATCTGATGGTTTTGTTGATGAAAATGTATTTGAACAAATTGGTCCCAATTCAATATTTATAACTAAAATTAAATAAAAATGATTAATAAAAAAATTTTATTGATTATGATTGTCTTTTCAATGATACATACATATATTACTATTTTCGTGATTATTGATCGATTGAAGTTTAGATTTATCAGTTGATGGTTTCTCTCCTACTTCAGCTCTAACACCACATACTACTGATGTATTGCCAATCTTTACAAATGAAGAACCATCTGCTGTTGTAACTGAACCTGTTGAAATAGTGGTCTTTCTTGTATCGTTTAATGATCTACCATCAGGTCTTACTGATCTAATTAAAAATTTTCTATAAAACTCTAATGGATGTATTTTTTGAAATGCTTCCATCTTTATTCTATATTTATATCTATCTATATAATTATTTTATTTTATTGTTTTATTATTTTATTATATTTTTTATAAAATTTAGTTTTAATCAAAAATTTTCAAAAAAACGAAAAAAAAAAAAAAAAATAATTTAATTTTAAAAAAAATTAAAAAAAAAAAAAAATAATTTAATTATAAAAAAAAAAAACTTAATTTTAAAAAATTTAATTTTAAAAAATTTAATTATAAAAAAAATTAATTTAATTTTAAAAAAAAAAAAATTAAACTTAAAAAATAAAAAAATTTTGTTTATCTATTTTAAAAACCAATCCAAGAAATATAAAATTAATAAATGTCCAAAGAATATAATTCATTAAAGGAATTTATTTTTGACACACCAACTCCACAAGTTGTGCTTACTTTTAAAGAGGAAATGGAAGTATTGGAGGCCAAAAAAATATTACCTGATCTTATAGAGAAACTTTCATTAAATAAAACTATTTATGGCTCTCTTCTTCGAGCTCAAAATAATTTAGAAAATATTATAAAAAAAGATAAGATTAAAAATATCTGTATACAGCTGATGAAACTAATTTTAGAATATATTCAATTTTTAACATCAAAAGCTACCAAATTATTACAAGCTAGGTGCTATAAAAAAGCCCAAGATGAATATAAAATAGCACTTGATTATGTACGTAAAGTGTTTGGAGAGGAGCATTTAGAATCATTATTGATTCAATTAGATTATGCAGTTTCAATACAAGTGGGTGAGGCTAATGGAACAGACCTTATTATGGAGACAATCAAGAAATTGGAAAAAATTAAACAATGTCCACCAGAACATAACATAAAAAAAGCGATAGCTATCGCTTATTATCTTCTAGCTCAGAGTAATTATTACAAAAACTATGATCTTATTGGGGCCTCCACATATTTGAATCTCTCCGAGCAGTTAAGAAAAGAATATAATGCATCGGAAGAAGAATTAGATAAAATTCAATTTCTTCAAGGAGCTATTGCTTTTAAGATGGGTGATTTATCTGTTGCTTTGCAGAAATTAACAGCATGTTACAATTTTCGAAAAACGCCAAACATACTAAGTGGTGATCTGATTCCAGTGTTAAAAGAACTTATTGATATTAGAAATTTTCGAAATGAAAAGAAGGAGGAAGCGGTCTTGCTTAATCATTTACTTGAAATTCAAAAGTACATTTCAGTTAATAAAAGAGAAATTATTGCAACTCAATTTCGCCTATTGAGAGCTCATAAAACCTCTATGATGGAATATTGGGGGATTATGAATGATATTGAGATGCAATTAAATAGCATTCAAATTGAAAGAGAAGATGCTGAGGTAGGCTTAAGCTACCTTGAATTGGCAGAAACCCGGATGTGTACTTTTCCTCCGCATGACATGGGGTATGTGGAAAAGAGGAGCTATTATTCACAAACAAACAGAATAATCGGTAAGGCCAAATCTCATTTCAAAGTTCCCAATAAAAAAATAAATATGGATGATGCTGCTAAGTCATTAGCTCAATTGGAAAAAAAATGTGAAAAGGCTCTTAAATTTTATGATAATTTAGAATTTATTGGAGAGCAATTACACCCCAAAGATGAGGCAACTCTTTTATATGAGCTTATAGGTGACACAAATACCGAAAAAGAACTACAAGATTTATCAGAATTTAGTTCTGAAGCTTGCCATTCATTAGTTAATGAACCAGATAGAATTTTAACAATTAAAGAATTTGAGCTATTACCTGAAGAAGGAAATATTAATCCGTATAAACTTCGAACTGCCCAAGGAGGTATTAATACAGAATTTAGTGATGGTAGAAATTTGGACGCAATGAAAGAGCTTCTTGTTAATAGTCCAAATTATACTAATGAAATTCCAAGGGTTGAAATTGGTATTTGTAGAGATAAGGTATACAGTTTTGATACGAGGCGACTGTTAGCCCATACGTTGGCCAAAGAACAAAATCCTGGAGTATTTATTAGGTATAAAAAAATATCGGGTGAGCATTTGCAGAAAAGAATCGATAAGATATTTTCTCCACGTCCATGGAATGGAATTGTTACAGCAATGAGATATGGAGGAAAAAATTCAGAATCTCAACCCTATATTAATCCTCCATTAAGACCACAGCTTGAAAACAGTGTTGGGAAAGGGTTCAAATATTTTCCAAATGTGCGGAATGGGGCCGATACAGATCCGAATGGATTTCCTATAGTTAAGAAAAAAGCTGAAAAAATTTATTCTTTTTTGCAAGAAAAAGATAAAAATGGTTCAGAAACTGCTAAGAAAATTTTAGAGGAAACAAAAAACACTTTAAAATCTAAAGGGCCAGAAGCTGCTCGGAATTACCTCATTGCTCAAAAAGAAGTGCAATCATTATTTGAAAAGAATGATCAAATTCAGTTTTCTTCGACTTTTGATTTAAAAAAGCCCTTTGATCAGGGTGCACCCTAAAAAACAAATGAGAGGATGGATGCAGTTAGTGTCGCAAACATTGCAACACATACATGTATATTAACTTTACAATTTATAATAAAATTTTAATTTTTAAATTTCCAAAGTAACACAAATAAATATTATTTAATCTACTTTAATAAAATATATTTTAAAGGTTGTTAGAAAAAAGTTTTTATTTTTTTTTTTGTATAAAGTGCAAAATTTTTGATTAGAGATTTTGGGTTTAGGTTTTTTTTGAATTTTTTTTTTATTAATAAATGGAGTTAACCTATAGATATTAAATAGTCCATCTAGTTTGAATTACAATAATCTCCAAATTGTTTTGACTTAGTGGTCAAATCTATTGGTTATTTTGCAAAATGAATTCATGAAAATTAAGGGTGATATAAAATTAATTTTTTAAAAAATAAAAGAAATTAAAAAAAAAATTAATTTTTTTTTTTTTTTTTTTTTTTTTTTTTTTAAATTTTTTTAAAATTATTAAAAATATTTTTTGATTAATATTTACTTTTTATAATAATAATATATAACACAATGAAGAAGATTGTTTGTGTTGCTATAGTTGGAAAAGGAGTAAGCATAAAATATAAAACTATCAACATCAAAAATATATTACATACTAATCATGTAATTAGAACAATCCATTATTTATTCAAGATTTTTCATCAAGTATTACAGATGAAAACAAATTAAAATTACATTATATAGTTCATTGTTCATTAGATATTATCGAAGATAAACGTATGTAGCAACTAATAGTAGTTATAATGGTAATAGTAACAACAATATTAATAGTATATCATTATTTATAGCTGGTGTACCAACATCAAAAAAACTACCAAGCGAGATGTATTTAGGTTTATTATATCCAACCGAAGATTATAAAGTATATGGATACTTAACAAACACAAAGATTAAATTTATTATAGTGGTTTTAGATAATTCAGATATTAAAGACTCTGATTTAAAAATAGTATGTTTTCATAATATAATTAATTAATTAATTAACCTTCAAATCATATTATGTTTATTTACTAACCTTTTTATTATTATAATTAGTTTTTCAAAAGATTACAATTATTATTTATAAATACAACAAGCAATCCTTTTTATAAACCAAATAGTAAAATTGAATCAAAAAAATTCCTTCAAGACGTTACCAATCTTGTACCATCATTGTAAATTATAAAAGAAAAAAACAATAATAAAATAATAATAATTAAAAACATATGTATATTTTTTTTTTAATTTTACATTTTTTCCTATTTTTATTTAATTTTATTTTATTTTTTTTTTATAAAAGTTATTTATTAAACTTTTAATGATTGAATAACATCGTTGATTTGATCGAAAACTTCTAAAATATGGTCTAATTCTTTTTTGGTTAATTCAATTAAAACTTGTTCTTTTTTATCATTGTGATTGGTTTCGATTGTAAGATTTAATAATAAAACATTTTCTTGAACAATATTGATTCTATCACTTGAAAGAATTGCATTCATTTTCCAATCAAAATCTGAAAGTGATGATGAACTAATAGTTGAAAGTTTTTCTGTTAATTCTCTTTTAATATCTGTAAATCTTGAAATAATACAATCTGCTATAACATTAATATAAAGACCATCAACATTGGCTGTTTTTAAATCTTCACAAATCTATAATAGTGGTAGCGACCATAAATCAAATGTTAGAATATTTATTCTTTTATAAAACAATGAATAATAAACTGATGGGCGAGTGAGTGGGTGAGTGAGTTGTCTAATTATTAAAACTTACATATTCCTTCTTTAAATCTCTACCAACAACTCTATTAATAAATAAAGAATAAACCCTAATAAGTTGGTTTACTATTCTTTCGTTCTCTTCATTTATGAATCTGTCAAATGAAACTATTCTGCCGCAAATTTGGTCAATTATTGAATGAATGAAATCCTGTGCAATTTTATCTGATGCAAAAACACTAATCTTTGTTAAAAAATTATATATTCTTTCTTGTGACACAACTTGTAAACTATAATATTTTGTGGTTTTTTCTGTCATATTTTATTATTATTATTATTGTCGAGTGTTTATAATAAAAATTTATAAAATTATCTTTTTTTAATAAACAAATTTTCAATGATAAAAAAAAAATTTTTTAAAAAAAAAATTAAAAAAAATAAATTTATTTTTTTTATTTTTTTTTTATTTTTTTTATTTTAAAAGTTGTATGATTTTTCTATATTTATTCATTTATATATATTTGTATATATCGTTTTATTAAAAGCAATGATATTTATATATTTTTTAATTAAAAGAAATAATTTCTTTTCTTGGGTTATTATTTGATTTTTAAAAATATTTTTTATCAAATAACCACATAATTTGATTTTTGAGAATTTAATATTAATAATTAACTTCCAAACTAATTCCTTTTTTTTTATTTGTATTAAATATATATTTTTTATTTTATTTTTATTTTTATTTTTATAATTTTTTTTTTTTTTTTTTTTTTTTTTTTTAAATTAAATTTTCAAAAAAACGAAGAATTTCTTTTTAAAAATTTTTTTTTTTTTCATTCATTTATTTGTTTTATTTTTGTATAATGGATACCCCAGAAATTGTAACAAAACAAGAAGAAACCACTACAGTTGTTGAAATTAAAAACAATGATGTGGTTTCAGAAACTACAACAAACTCATCTGAAACAACAGAAGCTACAAGTAATAATACTACAACACCAAAAAAGGAATTAGAAGCCCATATTAAAAAAGAATATTTAATTCCACCATCAACAAATGGACCATCTAGAAAAGAGTTACAAGAAAAAGCCGAAAAAGAAAGAAATAAATTAAAAGAAAAACAAAAGAAAGAAAAGAGAAACTTTCATGAAAGAGTAATTATTACAAATACAGATATAACACAATGCAATTTATAATGCAATTTTAATAATAACAATCATTATAATTTTTTTAAATATATAGCTTTGCGATAAAATGGTTCAAAGTGAAAAATGCGAGTATGGTGATAAATGTAAATTTAGTCATAACGTTGAGGAATATTTAAAAACCAAACCAAAATCATTAGGAAAATGTTTATCCTATGAAGCATACGGCAAATGTAAATTTGGAATCAATTGTTATTTTGGTGAAGATCATATTGTTGGTAACGAATCAATTTCAAATCCAGAGAAATTTAATGTTAAACCAGTTGTTCCAATCAATGATATCTCAATCGAACTTCAAAATAAATTAAAATCAAATGTATATCCATTCACAAAGAGTGATCAATATTTTAAAGAAAACAATATTACCCCAAAACAATTAAAACCAAGAGGTAAGTTAGCTAAACAACAAAATAACAATAATAAAAAAGAAAAAGAAGAAGACGGTGATTGTTGCAGAGAGGAAGAAAAGGAAGAAAAAGAAAAAGAAAAAGAACAAGAAGAAAGTATTTCATTAAAAGATTCAGAAAGACCAGTTAAAAAAGTTAAATCAGATGAACTAGCTTCATCAGAATCAGAACCAGCTTCAACATCAACAACTACCCAAAGCCATGAACACACAGAAATTGATAAATTAACTCCATTAAAGGAAAATGAAAAAAAACAATTTAACTTTAGAGATCAATTAATTTTAGCACCATTAACTACAGTCGGTAATTTACCATTTAGAAGAATTGCAAAGAAATTAGGTGCCGATATTACCATTGGTGAAATGGCTTTAACCACAAAGATTTTAGAAGGCTCAAGATCAGAATTAGCATTATTAAAAAAACATCCATGTGAAGATAAATTTGGTATTCAAATTTGTGGTTCCTATGTAGATACAGCAATTAGATGTGCAGAGTTTATCGAAAATGAAGTCGAATGTGATTTTGTAGATATCAACTCAGGTTGTCCAATTGACATGGTCTGCAATATGGGTGCAGGTGCTGCTTTAATGGAAAAACCTAAAAAAGTTGAACAATTACTTAAAGGTATCTCATCAACACTCTCCTGCCCAACTACAATTAAAATTAGAATCGGTAAATTAGAGGATGCACCAACTGCACATAAAATCATTCCATTCCTTGGCGACTATGGTGCCTCAGCAGTTACTCTTCATGGCAGAAGCAGAAATCAAAGATACAGTCGTTTAGCAAATTGGGAATACGTCAAACAATGTTCAGAAGTATCTAAAATTCCATTAATTGGTAACGGTGATATTTATAACTACCGTGACGTCGTCAACATTTACGATACATCAAAAGTATCATCTGTAATGGTTGCTAGAGGTGCACTTATTAAGCCATGGATTTTCACTGAAATCAAAGAAAAGAGAGATTGGGATATCAGTGCAACCGAAAGATTAGATTTAATTCGTGACTATGTACACTATGGTTTAGATCATTGGGGTAGTGATAAAATTGGTGTAGATAATACAAGAAAGTTCCTTTTAAATTTCTTATCATTCTCTCATCGTTATGTACCAGTTGGTCTTTTAGAATCAGTCCACAAAATGAACGAAAGACCACCACCATACTTTGGTCGTTCAGATTTAGAAACCCTTTTAGCAAGTAACCAAGTAAAAGATTGGATTAAAATTTCTGAAATGTTTTTGGGTCCAGTTTCAGATAACTTTGTATTTGTACCAAAACATAACTCAAATGCTTATGAATCACAAGGTTAAATTAATAAAAACTATAAATAAAATTATAAAACTATAAAAAATATAAAAATTATTAAAACTAAAATATTTATAATTATTTAAAATTTTGTACACATTTTATTTTATTTTTATTTTATTTTATTTTTTTGTCTTGTTTTGTTTTTTTTTATATGATTATAATTAAATAATAATATAATTGGTGATGAGATATTAATATAAAGTAACTATATCTTTCTATATAATAGTCTTTTTTGATTTCTATATTCGAATTCGTCTCTGGCAACCAAAATATCGATTGCTTTAAAAATTGCAAAATGGTCCATTTCGAAACGAGCCAATTCTGCTCTTAAAACTTTTATACGAGCGGTCATACCAATAGGAATTCTATTTTTAAGGAATTTTTCAACATTTTGAATCATTTCTAAACGTTCAGGGGTTATAGTTTCATTTACAGTATTATTAGTTGTGATAGCATCGAATGTTGAAATATCGAAAAGACGAATAGCCTCTTTGGCATGTTCAATAGTTGCAACGGGTGAAAGTGACATTTTAGCCAATGACTCAGATATACGAATAATAGCCTCTAACTGACGAACAGTGATTGGAATTGAATTTTTCTTTTTCTTTTTTTCTTTGTTCGAACCATAGGTTTCCTCTTGTTCTTTTGACTTTGCTCTAACAGAGACATAGTGATTTTTTAATGTAATGGCCGCTTCCTCTGATAAACGTGGACTAATTCTTGAACGGCAATATGCTATATATTTCTTAAGGTATTCGACTGAAACATCATTATCACTAATATGACTATCGTCTACAACTGTGTTTGTAATTGAATAACCTGCATTGTTACCATTTGCATTATTTAAATAACTGTTTGAAGAATGTCCTCTATCGTGAATACCAATAACATGTTTTGAAATGATTTGATCACGTTTTTCATTCTTTGGATCTTTTACGATGAAAATTAAATCGAAACGAGAAAGAATGGTTGATTGGAAATCTATATTGTCATCTGCCATATCATTATAACGACCATATACCGGATTTGCTGCTGCTAAAACCGATGTTCTGCTATTTAAAATTGTTGTGATACCTGCTTTTGCAATTGAAATAGTTTGCTGTTCCATAGCTTCGTGAATTGCAACACGATCATCCAAATCCATTTTATCAAACTCATCTATACATACAACACCACCATCGGCAACTACCATTGCACCACCCTCTAAATAATATTCACCAGTGGAGGGCTCACGAATAACTGATGCAGTTAAACCAGCTGCTGAACTACCCTTACCAGATGTATAAACAGAAATTGGTGCCACCTTTTCTACAAATTTTAAAAGCTGAGACTTTGCAGTACCTGGATCACCCAATAATAAAATATTTATATCACCACGAAGACGCATTTTATCGGGTAAACATTTGGCACTACCACCAAACAATTGACAACTAATCGATCTTTTAATATCTTCATGACCATAGATGAATGGAGCAATTGAATTTGCAATGACTTGACGTAAGTTTGGATGTCTTGAAAAATTACGGAAGCTCTGTTCTTCCGATGGTGTAAAATGCATAGAGTCACGACCAGCATTATCCGATGTTATACCCAAAACTCTTAAATAGTTTGTACGAATTGTACCACCTGCACCATTAATTTCTTTACGTCTACCCTGACCCTCAAAAATACCCAATACACCCAATACTTTAATACGTGTTCCTGGTGTTACTTTATCTGCCAGATGACGATCCAAAGATAGTAATATATGACGAGGCATTTCACCTGTTGGAATTGTTTCTGGTGATTCTTGAAGTTTTAAAATTTGTTGATTTACAAATGTTGAACGATCTGATAATACTACATATGGATTATTTGGACATTGTTTATGAGCTGAATTGGTTCCTTTTTCGCACTGTTGTGGTAACACTGATGATACGATGCCTGGTCTAACTGATATTGTTTGTTGATGTTCGCAATTCTTGCATCTAATACTCATTGTTGATGGTTTTGGTTGTGTTCTACTAGCGGAAATAACAATACCTTGAATCTTTACTAATTTCGATATTAACCCTGATTTTAAATTTCTAATTGGTTCTGGATTTGCTGAATTTTTAAATAAAATCTGAATATCTTCTTCGACACTTTCTTTATTAAAATTCATTTCTTTAATAATATCTTTAACTGAATCTTCAAACTAATTAATTAATTTTAAATTATTAGTAAAACATTATCAATATAACAACAACAACTTTATTGTTAAATATAAATATTAATTGATAGTTACTAATAAAATCAATTCATTTGGTGAACTAACTAATCGATCCCCCAACTCTTGATTAAAGTCTACTAAATGGTCTATATTAATCTCTATATAATTCCATCCCAAATTGTAATGCTGTCTTAATTGTTCTTTATATATAAATATATTTTCTTGGTTTTTCCATTCTTTTATAAAACTTTTAAATAATTCTTTTGTATTTCCATCTTTAGCTTCGTCAGCTTTGCTTAAACCACTTTTGCCACCACCACCACTATACATAACATTACCTTCATCAAACCCTGACATTTTATAAAATTTATTAATTAAAATAAATTAACCTGATTAATTTATAAATAAATAATATATTATATTAAAAACAATAAAACGGTAAATATGAAAAAAAAAAAATTTTAAAAAAAAAATTTTAAAAATTTAAAAAAAAAAAACCGCTAAAATCAAAAAAAAGATTATTATTAAAATATAAATATTTAAAAGAATAATTCCAACAATAGTCAATCTATGTAATTTTAAACTTTATAGTATTTTTAAAATAAAAATTAAAAAAAAAAAAATATTTTAAGTATATTTGGTTTGTTTCAAATTAAAAAAAATCATATAAAAAAATCAGAATTTAGCTATAAAATAACAATCATAAGAAACAAAATTGGAATGCAATTGAAAAAAGATTAATTTTTTTTTTTATATTTTATGTTTTTATTTTTACAGCCAAAAACAAGTTGAATAGGCCCAATGTATTATCCACCCAAATTTCAACAAGATTGGAAGTTTCGAAGAGGTTGACCCAGATATTTAAACTGCTGATTGAAAGACCCATAAAAGGAAATGTCCGTTAAAGCTAAAAATTCTCAGTATTGGTGTATTCGTAACAAGATAAAAAAAATAAAATTAAATAAATGGATAATATAATTTAATTAAATAAATAAAATTGTTAAAAAAAAAAAAAAAAAAAAAAAAAAAAAAAGGTTAAAAATATAATCTAAAATAAAACAGTAATCTTTATTTATTAAAAAAAAAACAATAAAAATTATTTAACCATAATTAATGGCATTTTTTTTTGAAAATATATTTAGCTTTTTTTTTTTTTTTTAAATACCCACCTGATTCGTGCACCCCATTCAGTTTTTTTACTTTTTTCGCTTTGCGTCATAAAAAAAATATAGTGCGGAAGTTTTTACCCAAATTGATTTTATTTTATTTAGTTATTATCAAAATTAAATATAAATAATAAAATTATAATTATAATTTTTTTATTAATATTTATATTTTATGATAAACTATTTAAAAAAAATAAATAAATAACCATTTTGATATATTGTTGTAAATACGCT